CTCAACCGCACTTGGCGGTTGTCTAGCGTCGAGAGATTAACCCTTCAAGGCACGTGTCAGTCGACACTTGAGTGTCGAATGCGACCCTCGAGGTTATCGAGGACTGAGTGATATGGGTACTACATAGTACGCCATCGTTGCGACCGTTTGCGTAAGCATGCATTGCTAGTCGATATGAGAAGGTCCTTGCGTCCGTGTGGTTTTATACTAAGTCTCGCGAATGCTGGTTATCCGATTTTCGTATCATAAGATTATGAGACGACTACAAAAGGAACTAGGAGTGTTGTTGTGTTATTTTGTTTTGTGTCCTTCTGTGTGTGTGTGTGTGCTTTTACTTTTATGTTTTAAGCGTTGTGTGACGAGTGGTGAGTGAGATGCGTCCTAGTCGACCGGCGACGAATCGCGCTTGGGACTTCATCCGCCCAGTGCGTCGTGCGGGTCCGATAGAGGCGTGGGATACACCCACCGAAGGGAGGTGACAACTCCCGCATGTGGAGGTAAGTTGTACCTCGCGTTGGCCCTATCCTGTCATAGGGGCTCGCGAGAGGTATGGTTGGCGCACTCGGTCGGAGCGGCTTGTGGAAGCTTTAAGTGTGTCACGAGTAGACCAACTCCTGCGTGACGTGGCCGGGAGAGTCCCGCACTGCGTGGGACCGATGTGCTTGACAGCGAGGACAAGGCATTCGCTACGCCTTCCCGCACTTCCCGCTGTTGATCTCGTTTCGACAAAACACCGTGCCGCACTACAACGTCATATGTTGACTCAATGCCCAAGCCTAAACGCACTGATACACCACTTTTTTTTCAAGCCCCCTTTTCCCATTCCCATATAAGCGAGGACCGGTCCTCGAATTTAACAACCACCACGGTTCTACGCGCAATAGTTATAGGTAGTTCGCACCATTGACCAATCCCCCAATAATTTTCACCCCTTTACAATTCACTCGTGTGCGGGTCCCCCGCCGTTGAAAATGTGTCACCTTGACACGGATGTCGAAACCTACTATACCGCAGCCTTAAGGCTGCAAATTTCCCTTGAACAATGCTTCCTCCTGAAGAAAGTAAAAAAAAATATTACAGATAGTCATCCAGGCAGTTTGATAGAGAGTCGTACTTTTACGGGTATACGGAAAAATGTATAGTTTTTCGCACCTTATGGTTCGCTGCCTCCAAACTCTCTCTTGAACTCTGGCAGAGCTCACACAATCGATGGGTTGTCTGGGGTCCTACTTGATATAGTCTTGGCACAGTCTGGTTAGAGCGACTCTTCCAGTTATCTTCCCCTTGGAGAAGCTTTACAGATAGTAAAAGATGGTTGAAGAAAAGTAAAACACTTGGGCACTCAAGATGGGATAGGGGTCACTCAATATCTGATAGAGGGAGCCTTGGAGTCTCGTTGTCGGGAGGACACAGTTTGGCAACCAATGATAGTAAAGGCTTTTGAATCAGAGTTTGCCACCTTTCGCGTGTATTTTTGTGCCACCTTTTTACTTCTCCTCAAATTAACTCCCCTCATACCTAATATATAACCCTCCAATCTAGTCATCGTTGCACATCCCTATGCCACATTCCGGCCTTGCCTAGCTGTAATTAACCACTCCATTCTTCCTCCAAAAGTGATCCTTGTTGAGTCGTAGTTAACCACACCATTCTTCATAAAAAAAGTCGTTAAACTTTTGTTAGTCAACTATTGTCCTCCATCATTTCTTGTCGATCACTCAAAGGTGAAGTGCATAGACATATCTCTACCATGAGGTGCAAGATAATTGACTCCACCATGCACACAGTATGCCCATGCCAACTCAAAGCTCCGACCTGCGCACGCGGGAGGTAAAAGAACATTTCATGATCCTTGGAATCCATAGCCTTCTACGCCGTTGTCAGACTAACGGAAAAAAAAGAAAAAACACAAAAGCAAAGACAACGGACAATGATGATACCCCTTATTGCCCCTGACTGCCGTTTTTCTATAGTCACTGTATCTCGTCACAGTTGTGGTTATATGAAAGCAAAACCACAAGAGAAAACAAGGTAAAATAAACTAATAGTAATAATAATAATAAGGGATAATTTGCGAAATACCCATGTAAGTTAAGATATATGCCAAAATGCCTCTAAACGTTGTGGGTACAGCGGAATGCCCTTTTGGGCCTAATTCTTTGTGTTTTGCCCCTGTTAGGCCTGTGTGCAAATTTGCAATCTGGATGTCGTCATTGGGGCCTGGGCATGCACCCCGTTTTACTTGGTTTGCCCTCTATACCCGGTGGGCAACTTTGCGCAATACCCAAGCGCAGAGGCGTGACAATTTGCCTCCAACTTTCCAAGTTGTTCGAAGTCTTTGCCCGTGCCTCGGGCTCGGCAGCTTCGCCCTGGTAAGATTGTCCATCTCCAACTCCCCAATTCCTCCAATTCTTCTACTTTGCCCTCTCCGACATCCTCCTGCCCGACACTCCTCTCTCTCTCTGTGACACACACACACACACACACGCACACACACACACACGCACGGACGCACACACACACACACACACACACACACACACACACACAACGCAACTATTGAAACGACAATGCCTAGTCAATAGAACGCACATCCATTATGGGTGTATCTGGACAAAAAGTTATTTCAAAAGATAACAGTCATAATGGTGGTGCGTTCTTTTCAAGGGCCTGGAAAAGGCCATTGTCGGCTTCAAACGGCCAGGGGGCAAAATGCAAAGATGATCCGGCCTAACAGGGTTAAAAAGAAAATAAAACAGAGCCTAGAAAAAGTTTGCAAGTACCGGGACATTTTGCAAAGATGGACAGTACGAGTAGGGGTATTTTGCAAAGATGGACAGTACCAGTAGGGGTATTTTGCAAAGATGGCGGATCCAACTAACGCAGGGGCATTTCGCAAAACGTTTTTTGCATCAGAAGGGTATTCCACACTACTCACATCTTTAAGGGGCATTTTAACATATATCTAAACTTATAGGGGTATTTTGCAAATTGATCCTAATAAAAATTAGTAACATAAAAAAGAGAAAATTTGTTTGGTGCCCCTGTAATTTGCATTATTTCATGTCGCGCCCTTCCGACGACCGATTTACCCTGTCACGCCCCTAGGCCAAAAAATATTTTCGGCAGACCCTTGTCGGTAGTGACCGCAACTTTCCAGGACGCCCTCCTTGGACTGATGGTCGGGCCCTGTGCCATATGCCCTCATGATGGGCAACCATCTTTCTGCAATACCCCCGCAACCGTAAGGCACCACAAATTCGCATTTCCATCGAGCCCTGTACCATATCGTCCTCTTCCCTGCAAGTGTGTGTGTGTGTGTGTGTGTGTGAGAGAGAGAGAGAGAGAGAGAGAGAGAGAGAGAGAGAGAGAGAGAGAGAGAGAGAGAGAGAGAGAGAGA